TGGATGATGATCTGATTAGTCGACTAATCGCATAAATAATCGGTGACTAGTCGACTATCAAAATAATCGTTTGTGGCAGCCCTACTGTGGAGTGATTAATCAGTGAGTGAGTTATGATTTCAGATCTGTTAAGGTATTGCTTTTGGTGAATGCTGATGGGGAATATTGACTTGCAGAAGGTTTGGATCACCAGGCATTTATGCCAGCGCTTGGAGAGTGCCAAGAACCTGCCACCACAATCAAGGGAAGATGAAAGTTGCTATTCATGCCTAGATTTGCTACAGTGAAATGTTTTTCTCTGCGTTAAATCCATCATATTCATTAGGAGCAGTGGGCAGCCACTGTGCAGGCAGCCACCTAGGTCTTTTGGAGACGTAACCTAGGTTTTTTGGGGTGGTGGGAGAAGCTGGAGCTCCTGCAGAAAAGTTGTGTTTAGTGGAGATCATTTAAATTCCACAGTGAACCCCTCGCTGTGAGGCAGCGGTGCTAATCACGGAGCCACCCTCCTCTGAGTCAGATACAAACAGCAGTTCTGTCTGATGCTAAAGAGTTAAGAGACTGTAGGTGGATGAGCTGTTTTGTTGGTGTTCTGTTTCTTTGCTAGTTGTGGAGTGCAAAACAAAGCATTTTCACACTGGGGGATTGAAGAAAATTAGTTGCACACCACCCATACACATTTCTGGATTACCCACTGAAGAAACGCAAAGAAGAGCTTGTCTGGTTTCCTATCAGTTTAAATAAGTCGTAGTCAAAACTTGGCAGAAAACAACTCTATAACCAGGATTTGCCATAGGAGACATTTCGACATGTTGGCTTGAGAAACCAGCGTTAATGATGTGAATTAATAGAAGCTGCTTCAGTTTTAGAATTACAAATTACAGAGACAAAAAAAGGGCGTGAATATTATGAGTAAAACATGTGCTTTATTAGAATGTCAAGCCAAAAAGTCTCCTGTGAAGAAAGGCCTAACCTGGCCTATTATTGTGCATTGCAACATTTCTTAAGCAAATATAAAAAACAGAAGGCAAAAATAACCAGATGCTACAACATGGGCAGACTGAAACAGATGGCCAGCCACCAGTTTCCATAAAAACATCAATCCATCAACTGCTTCGTCTGATTTTTCCTTCTCACACAAGGCCTACAGTGTATTTATTATTTTTTTCACATGTCTGAGAAAAGCTACTCACTCCAAATTGGATGAAGCGCTCAGCTTTGAGGTTCAGAAGTGCAGAGCTTTAGTATGCTCGGCACTCCTGCCCGACTGTGTCAGCACCCAGCACCAGACGGACTCAACACCCTTTTGGTATTACTGCCTCCTCGATCTTTCCCTGTCTGTCTCGCTCTCTCTTTTCTCTCCTATGTCCTTTCACTAGCTCGTTCTCTCACTCTGTCTCTCTTCACAGGATTGGAGAGATGGACAGCGTGAAAAAGCAAACCTAGACAGAGAAGTGGCAGACCATCTGCCGAGCCAAGGACTTCTCCATTGCAGACAGTGACTGTCTGAACCTTGGCGAGACTAGTTCACGCTGTAGGAATACTGAAGATAATGCTAAAGATAATGAATGCAAGAAGGGAAAGAGTGAGAAAGCTCTAATATCCATCAGACCCAATAACAAATAAGTCATCTTAATGTTTGAATGTCAGTCAGTACTTTGTCCATTAACAGATAAGCCAATCACACTGCAAACTGAAAGGTCACATTTAGGTTATTAAATAAAGGAGCACCCACAAAGCTGCAATGTATATTTAACACTTAGGCAATCACATGTTAATTACATGGTTGGCCTTTAGGCAAAAAATGTGTTTATCTCCCTGTGCTGACATGTGCGGATATGTCCTACATTGAATCACAATTCATAAAAAATGATAATTGCTTTTGATTTGTTTATCTTCGGTAAAAGTGAATATTTCCATCTAATGATGGCTACACAAGAAGACAGGTAATTGCTAAATATCTGAGGAATCATGAGGTCACCTTGAATTACCTCAACATTTCCTTTCCACTCTGTATGGCAGTTGTTGAGATATCTTGCTTTAGATCAGAG